TTCAGGAGGGAGAGGCAGGCAGATCTCTGGGAGTTCAATGTCAGCCTCATCTACATAGTGAGTTCCAGGACAGATAAGGCTATTCACCAAGAAACCCTGTCTTGAAAAACAAACAAAACAACAACAAAAACCAAAAAGAAAGGAAGGAAGGAAGGAAGAGAAAAAAAGGAAGGAAGGAAGATAGATCATGGGCTGGAGACATGGCTCAGAGGTTAGGAGAACCTTCCTGCTCTTGCAGAGAACCCAAGTTCTGTTTCCAGCACCCACACTTGGTAACTCACAATCACTTATAACTCCAGATCCACAGGAATGTGATGATGTCTCTCTCTGGCCACTGGGAACACCTGCACACAAGTGTTCGTACCTATACACAGAAAATTAAAAATTCTTTAATGTAATTTATAATATATTAAATAATTTTAAAAATGATTCAATAGCTTCCCAAATTTTGCCCATCAGTTAACAGCCAAGCTCTAAAAATGGGAGCCCTATGAGAAACATTTCAGATCCAAATGATAAGCACGCATGACATTCCACCCCTCAGTAATGACTGCCAACTTGTTCAGGGTCAGGCAATAGGATGAAACATAAACCAGAACAATAGGAAATCCTTGAAGAAGTGAAATGTTGGATAATTGTATCTCCCAAAGCTTTTGGACAGCAAGTACAGAACTATGAACAACACTGAACAGAATAATGTGCTTTCAAGATTATGGGGAAACAGATGTTTGAAAGCGATCTAAAGCAGATATTGGACTTCTCATAGTTTCATGGTATGCCATTAGTAACTGACAAACTTCCCATTTCTCAGACTCATATGCAGCGATGCTGTACTCATGATCAGATTTGGTAGGACTGCATAATTATTTCTGGCCAATGTAATACTTATTTCATCTCAGAATGAAGAATAAATTATTAGTAATCCAGAATACCTTGTCCTTCTGTCACGGCAGGAAACATCTGAGATAGTGGATGTTCTGTTTCCTTGGAGCTAGATCCCTTGGATGTGATAGTCCCAAAGACTGCCATATATCATGTCATTTAAAATAACATGAACTATAAACCTTTATTGTAGCCGGCCATTGGTGGAACACCAGCTTTAGTCCCAGCACTCAGGAGGCAGAGGCAGGCAGACTTCTGTGAAAAAAAAGAAAAAGAAAGAAACCTTTGTTATTTTAAGTCATCGAGACTTAGAGGTCTTTCTCTCCTCTCTCTGTTTCTTTCTCTTTCTGTCTTTTTTTTTTCCCAAGACAGGATGACTTAGGGTTTCTATTGCTGTGAAAAGACACCATGACCACAGCAACTCTCATAAAGGAAAACATTTAACCGGGGCTGGCTTACAGTTTCAGAGGTTCAGTCCATTATCATCATGGCAGGAAGCATGGCAGCATGCAGACAGACATAGTGCTGGAGAAGAAGCTAGAGGTTCTTTCATCTGAATCAGCAGGCAGCAGGAAGTGAACTGGTTTGAGCTTCTGAGACCTCAAAGCCTACCCCCTAGTTACACACCTCCAACAAGTCCAGACCTATAAGTGCCACTCCCTATGAGCCAAATATTAAAATACATGAGTCTATGGGCCATTACTGTTAAAACCCCACACAAGGTTTCACTGCATAGCCCTGGCTGTCCTGGAACTCACTATGTGGATTAGACTGGTCTTGAACTCAGAGATCTGCCTGCCTCTGCCTCCTGAGTGCTAGAACTTTTGTTTTTTGTTTGTTTTGTTTTTGCCTTTTTAAAGTCATGGTCTCATGTGGCCTAGACTGGTCTTAAACTTGCTACATAGCCAAAAAAAACCTTGAGCTTTGAGACTCCAATCTCTACTTCCCAAGTAAAGAGGGACACAGTTGTCAAATACTGTTCAGAGGTAAAAGAGGTTATTGTTCTATAGGCGAGCACTAACATGTCCTACTTCAATGGAATTTTTATATGCAAAGAATGCAGATGGACAAGGGGGTTGTTGTGTGAAAGTTAACCTGGTAGCTAAGCACAGAATGCTCAAGACACCCTGCCCAGCTGAGACTGACCATGTGAAAAAAATATTCAAAATATCTCCTTCTTCGATGGATGTCTGGATTCTGCCTTAGCACGACAATTGTTATTATTATTGTTGTTGTTGTTATTATTATTATTATCACCTCTGGATTTTTACAAGAATGACATTATTAGGGCCAATGCACCAGCTCAGGAGATCTTGAGTGCTTGCTCTATGATCCTCCCCAATTTAGATGTGTAGTGCTCTTCTAGGCCTTTAAGTATCCAGTAACTACATGGGCTTATGAGAGTTGGACTCATAGAAAAGAAGCCTTGTTGGGTTTGGCCCCATCCATGGAAAGTGAAGGACTTGACTGGTGAAGTCTCCTGGCCTTGAGAGTACCTTTTGCAATTCTGTTTTCTCTTAGCTACCCAAAAGGCATATATGAGTAGTATGTCCTGGGAACTGGGTATTTCTTAGGTAGTTTTCATATTAAGTCCATTGGCAACACTCTTTCTCAGCTCCCCAACTATCCACCTACAGCTTTTCCATATATAACATTATTCATCATTTCTTACACAGTGGAATTGAATACACTCTCAAAACCACAGCCCACACCCTTAGCCTTGTTTGCTTGCTTGGGACAGAGTCTAGCTGCATTGCTCATGCTTGCCTTGAACTTGGGATCTCTCTTCCTCTTGCCTTGTCTTCCAAATACTGGGATTCTATCACACCAGACTTAGTCATTGTTTCCTATTTCTTTACCGACAAAAGAGGGACAAGGTTGTCAAATACTGTTCAGAAGTAAGAAAATATTTGTATTCTGTGTGGCTGTTATGAGAGAAAGAAAGCCTCTGCTTTCAATTGGGTTAATCCACCAGTGAAATGCATGAAATTTTCATGTTAAAACAACTTTACTGCTCACACCCCGCTCTCCTTGGAGCATCTTTGAAAGTCGGATAGACAGAGAGGGCTTGTATTGCTAGCTACTTGCAGATGCTTTCCTGGGAGGAATTTTGAAAAGTGGGGAGGTGAGATATTTGAGAGGGATGAGAAATGGCATGACCAGAGAAAGTGACAGTACAAAGTGGGAAGGCTGTGACACCCTGCTGCAGTGCAGAAGTCAGGCTGGATTTGCTTCCCAAGCCACAAACTAAAAATACTCATGTAATTTCACATTCCAGAGACAACTACCTACTCATCCAATTTTCATGGGCCTTGTCTTTGTTCTCCATAGCCTTTCTTACATGGGCACCAAATTCAAACTCTATCTAATTGGTGAACTTTTTCTTCATCTCTCACTTTCTATGGCACAATGTCCAAATTTTCAAATTTGATAACTACAGGTATAGAGTCCAGTCTATACCCCATAGACACCCTTTGGAAACATAAACTTGTTCATTAAAAAGAAGTCTCCAGGCTCAGTGTGGTGACGTATGCCTTTAATCAGGAGACAGAAGGAGACCTGGCCCACTGCTGCTCTTGCAGAGGACCCAGGTTCAGTTCTCAGCACCCACATGGTGGCTCACAACTGTTATTCAAGTTCCAGGGAATCTGATGTTCTCTGTGACATGTACATAGTGTACATAGTGCAAAGTCATACATGAGGCAAAATGCCCACATGTATAAAATTTTTTTAAAAAATTTAAAAATAGAGAAGCTAATTAAGAAAGAATGACCAACAAGAGTAAAAAACAAAAGCTACATGAAGTATCTATCAACCAACAGCAGGAAATGCCTTTTTAAGGATAACTGCAGTGAGAATGTGACTAGATGTGTCACCTGCATTTTTATTCAGAGAAGAGTTTGAGAAGCTGGAAGGCACAGTGACTGTCCCAGATCATTTCATCCAAGTTAAATTGATCTTGGAAAGTTGGGCCAACTTTTGTTAACTTTATCATCATCTGCCTGTTATCAGAATCTTTGTCTGGTTTCCTCATTCTGCTGGTCCTTGTGAACACTGTACCCTCAAATGCACTCAGTGCACTCCCCCCTCCCTCCCTCCCTCCTGCCTCCCTCCTTCTCTTGTTTTTAGAGTCTCACTAAATTGGCCAGGGTGACAGGCATGCGAACAGGTTGAGTGGGTAGGTGCATAGACATCTCTGTTGAGTGGGTTGGTACATATGCATCTTTGGAAGGAGAAGTTTTGTAGTTTAAGTGTGCTGAGATTACAACCATTTGCCATCCAGCCTTGCTGATCCTTATCAGAAAGCCTCTTGCTATATGGTAATCTTACAAGCTTTAGGGATCCCAGAGTCGGGCTTAGATAGTTATCCATCAATGGCTTTCTAGACAGTTCAGGATGCCAGGTCTCCTCCCAGGACCAGAAATATGACTCAGGTTTTATTCTTCTGACCAGTAATGAAGCGTTCCAGCCTATTGCCTGGCAGGCTGTAGACTATAAGGGGGGGGAGGGGTTTGGGGGAGACTATAAATTCCTCCAAGCCTGCTAATGTCTACTTAAAATACTCCTTGTTACAGTATGGTATTCCAAGACTACCTGAATGTCCTAAGACTCTCTGAAATTTGACTCTTTTTTTTTTCTCAAAGCTGAGGAGGGGAAGGGAGAGAGAGAATGTTCTTCCTTGCTGGATTTGCTAACTAGCCTACATCCGCTTTTGTTTTAAATTTTCTACACAGACTTACTTGGCAAGGTTTAGGGAAAGCTATGGGATAATATCACATCAAGTTAAAGATTAATGTTAAACCACAAACTCCAAAGTTAACAGTGCAAACAAGGACCTTTAGGAGTTCTCAGCGAATTCCTGCTGGAGCTTGATTTTCTTTAATGGCTTCTGAATCTGCACCAAAAGACACAAACTTCCTAATAGAAAAGTGTTGGTGACTGGCACAATAAACGAACTTGCTTCTGAAAGTGAATTTAAAATGTGGATGCTCATCCCGCGCCCTCCGCTCTGGTTGCCAATGCAAATGAGTCAGAGGGCTTCTTGCTTCAGACACTGAACTAATTGTGTAACTAACTGTGCAACGGAAAGTGCCATTGGAGAGTAGATGCTGACCTCACAGCCGAAAAAAACTATTTAAAAGATGTGGAAACCAGATGTTTCAGCCACATTCCAGCCGCTACTCTGAGAATTTCTCTTGGGCAGCCCTGACACTGTAAACGGCTCTGCAACTGAAGCTATGGTCGTTCTCATTTGCTTGTGCTTCTTGCTGTGGGAAGAGGTTCACGGATGGGGATTCAAGAATGGAATCTTTCATAACTCCATATGGCTTGGTAAGAAACTCCACTCTCGAGCTTCTTGTTGGGGATATCAGATCCTTTGACATCACAGAGAACTGAATTGAAGGAGTAAAATTTTCTAGCTTGGTCAAGGTTGATGTTTTCACAGAAAATTCTTTAAAAAGAGAGATAATGACTGACATGCCATTAAACAAAGGAAGTTTGCTTTTTAAACTTAAGGCTATCATTTTACACAATGCATTGTTCGACTGAAAACAGGGGTTAAGATGTGTCATTGTGGAAATATATTTTAAGATTTTCAAAGTAGACATGGTAGCTCACTAGTGGGCATTTCTATATGAAACAAAGCAACCAGTACAATAGGATTTGGTTTATTATTGTTGTTATTATTGTTGTTATTATTATTATTATTATTATTATTATTATTATTATTATTATTCAAACTGCGTTCACAGTAATGAGTTCAGGTAAGATGGGAGATGCAGAACTTCTACAGTACCTCTAAACTCCATGTACTCTGAGCTATAGCATACATCTTAATTTTTCTAACCATCTGTCAACATTTTAACAAAACTAGAATGTAATACAGGGGAAAAATTTTTTAAATGCTTTGTACTTTTAATGTGTTCCTCAGGCTTTGTTTTTTTTTTTTTTTTTTTTTTTTTTTTTGTCATGTAAGTATTTTCCTAGACCTTTGGTGGTTAAGTGAGGAAAGTTCTTTCTGTTGTCTTGTTAAATGTAAGGGATGTCTTAGGCTAAACACTAAAGAATAACAATAGACCAATACATGACTATTAACACAGAAATGAACATTAACCCATTGTTGCATTCAAAGCAATACTAGAATCCATATGATTCAGTTGATTTTGCATAGAGAAAAAATTTATCCTTTGATTGCTTGGCAGGGGATCATTTTATTCTTGCCCAGAATAAAGAAATAAAGAGAGAGCAACATTAACCTAGATCTTGGTTTTATGCTTGTTAGGAAACACATGGTTGTAGACTCTGTTCCCCTTTCAGTGGGGTTCACTTTGGAAATAACTGTAAACATGAGGACTTCATTAAAAAGCTGGATCTGAAGGCACAGCCTTGCCGCCTCTTTTTCCAGCTCAAGCCAGTAACTACTTGCAGTGTGACTGTTTAGTCAAGATGGGCTCTGAAATTAATGTAGTGCACACAGTCCAACTGAGGAAATATACACACATTTGTCAGAAATGGGGAAACACCATGAAGCTAGGAAGAATTAAAATCATATGGGGATAGTTTGAAATGCTATCAAATTCTCCTGGGATTGAGTAATTTGAAGTCATTGTTTTTATAATGAATGTGTATGCTACAAAAATGTAAACATGGATAGAAAATGGTTCTGCCCCAACAGTGGAGAGAAGCAAGCCAAACCTTGGTTAAGGGCAGAGGTCAGGACTTTGAGACCCTGTCAAATGCTTCGATCTGGAACAAATGACTGATCAGTCAGCCCAGCACAAATTGTTTACAGTTGGTTGGGTCAATTTAATATTAGTGCCTATATAGGAAAAAAAGAGAATTAGATCTGGTAGCATCTGTGAAGAACAGGACATCTGAACTCTGTGACTTCTAATTTCCTAACGGCAACTTAACAAGAAAGGAACTGACAGACAAGAGATGCCAGTCAGTTAACCTGGATCTTGAACATTAAAAGCACAGATAACAATCATTTTCAGTCTTTGTACTGAATCTGCCAAAGACAGACAATTTGCATACCATGAGTGGGGTGCATCATCAGTCATCATTCCCATTTACTAGATGAGAAAACTGAGGCCCAAGTAGGTGATGTCTACAAGCTTACCTAAGTCCTCCCAGGAGAACAGGCAGATAGATACTAGAGTCTACAGTCTACTGTTGTCATTTGCCAAAAGGAGAAAAAAAATTGAGTTTTTTAAATAAAGTGGCAGAGTAGAAAACTAACAAAATATCATTTCATTAGATGTATGCATCTTTTAAAAGTTAGAGTTTCGTTGTACTAGGCGTCATCTTAATAGCTTAAATTTCTAAACCCAGAAATATAAGTAACAAATAATAATTTAAAATAATAATGGTCTTGATTTTGTATTTCCTATATGTGGGGGCTAAGGCAGGAAGATTGGAAGTTCCAGGGTAGCCTGAGATACATAGCAAATATTTGCCTCAAAATTAAATAAATAAATAAATAAAGTGGACAAATATATACTCAGACTGCTGTGTTTATAATCTTCCCTAGGCAGTATCAAGTGTATGGGTGCATGCCTTTAATCCCAGCACTGAAGAAGCAGGCAGATCCCTGTGAGTTTGAGGCCAACCTGATCTACATAGTGAGTTTCAGGCCAGCCAGATCTAAAAAAATGACATGTCTCAAAAAACAAACAAAGAATCCAAAAGTACTTCATGTAGAATTGTTTCTGAGAAAGAAGTTCTGTAATCCCCAAGACTCAAGATGCTGAAGAAGGACAGAGACTACAAGGAAGGCATAGGCTACATAGTGAGACTGATCATCAATTATTCCATTAACTTCCTTAGTCAACTACGTACATCAAGAATTCTCAGTGTGTTTGCTCATAAGGTAGAAATGGAATAGAAATATTTAACAAACTAAAAATATGGCACATGAAGTTTGTTGTTTCAGTTATAGTAATCTTATCACCCAGACGTATGCCATCAGTTTCCAATAGTTTTTTTTTTTTTAATTTCCTTTTATTAGCGGTAAGAAAATTTGAAATTATTTTCTAAAACTCTTTGTTAATCTCTCCCCAGAAGTGTATTTCACAACTGAAGTAAAATATTAAGGAAACCAGTTTGAGGAACAGTTGGCATACATTAAAGTAAATTGTACAATTTTTTTCTAATTTTATTTTCAATAATATTATTTTATTATTTTATGTGAGTTGGTGTTTTGCCTGCATGCATGTCTGTATGAGGGCACCAGATGCCCTGGAACTGGACACAGACAGTTGTGAGTTGCCATGTGGGTGCTTGGGATTCAACCCAGGTCCTCTGGAAGAGCAGCTAATGAGCCATCTCTCCAGTCCCAACAACAATATTTATAATAAATTAATTAAGCATGTGTCTTTTTCCTCTACCAAAAGGTATAGTGACTAAGCTAAAGATACTTAGTTCAGTGTGGTGGTACATATTTTAATTTTCACACATAAACGGCTGATACAGGAGAATTACAAGTTCTAGGCCAACCTGGACTATATACCAAGACCCTATGTAAAAAAACAAAAACCAAACAAACAAAACAGGGCTGAAGAGATGGCTTAGTGGTTAAGAGCAGTGGTTGTTCTTTTTGAGGATGAGGATTTGATTCCTAAGACTCACCTGGCAGTTCAGTCCCAAGGGATTCAATGCCCTCTTTCTGGACTCCTCAAACACTAGGCACACATGTGGTGCACAAACATACATGCAGAAAAAAACACATGTACACATAAATTTTTTAAAAAATTTAAACTGGTAAATATATGTTAGTTGCCCACTCGTTCATGTCTAAGTTCTTTGAGGTGACAGGGCTTGATCCCCAACACCTAGAAAAATTTATCAAACTACATGCTTAAAAGAATAAAACTGCAAATTAATTAGTGTATTGAGGTTTTGTCACATGAACGACACCAAAGTAACAGGTCATTTACAAAGCAAAAATCATCTCCACTGGTAATAATCTGATGTTGCTAGTATTTTCTGGTCCCTAAGTGTGGGCTATAAGCTCAGTTGGTAGAGTGCTTGCCTAGCATACAAAAAACAAAAACAAAACCCTGGTTGAATTCCCAAGTGCCATGAGTTACATGCCTGTAAACCCAGCACTCAGAGGTTAGAATTTAAAGGTAAGATTATAATTAAAGGTCTTCCTCAGCTGCATATTAGAGGTCAGCCTGGGCCACATGAGACTTTGCATCAAAATAGAAAAAAAAAAAAAGTCAAATTGACTGTTGTCTTCTCTAAGTGATGGGCCTTTGCTGTATATTTTGTTAGAATGGGATCTTTGGAGTCTAGGAAAATATGAAACATAACCTGCATAATTTCCCATCAAACTGTGACAGCACCAATTTTAGTTTGGAGAAGACAAAAAAGAGTTGAATCAGGACATGTTTCTGGATGTATGTCTTGCTGTATGCTGAGGCGTCCAAGAATTCACTGGGAACATCTCCACAGTGACTGACTTGACAAATCAGTACACAAATGCTCAATAGTGATCTAGACAACTGGGTGGTACTGCTAGCACTATTGGAGATAAACTTGTGACTATTGTCCTGGGAACCTCTTCACATTGTTTCTATGGAGACATCACTGCAGTCCCCAAACAATTCATTGAAACAGTGACCTACTGGAAGACTGGGTATGTGTGTCTTGCCATCTCCTAAGATATATTGGGGACAACCTGTGAACAAACAAATCAGGAAAAACGATTAGAGAAGCGCCAATTTTTTTCTCTGCTGAGTTCAAATCTCTATTCTTTACTGCTCAACTTGCTTGCTGAGTATTCCATCAGATTTCCTCACTGTTTTGAAGTTCTTTACTAAATTCTCAATTATAACGTCTTCATCATCCCTCAAATGGACTTGTCTGCCTGACTGTGAGCTTCCATAGTGAAGTCATTTACACTGGTTTATTTTGCCTTCTAAACCTCCTTCCTTCACCTACTTTCCTTCATCTGTTTCCTTCATCTACATTTCCACGCTTTTAAGACTTAAAACCAGGGGCTGGAGAGATGGCTTAACAGTTAAGAGCACTGGCTGCTCTTCCAGAGGACCTGAGTTCAATTCTCAGCACCCACATGGCAGCTCACAACTATCTATAACTCCAGTTCCAGGGCATCTAACACCTCCACACCAATGCACATGAAATAAATTTAAATAAAAAGACTTAAAGCCAAAAGAATACCAAAACTTGATTACTTGTGGTTAGTCTGGAAATGTAATGTATTAAAAAAACTTTATTTCATGATATCAGAAGCAATCTAAATGCCAGTCTTTATATGTCCTCTGTTCCCCCTAAAATTCCCCCTTATTCTTTTTCTCCCTGAAGCTTTCTAACAATAAAAACTTAACTACCATAGCAGCCGACCTAGAAATTTCTTTGGCAAGAACATGTATCTGATGTAATCTTCCTGCTGAAGTAAAATTTCCTTTGTTCTACAAGAATGGATAACAGTGTATTGATGCCATTTTGTAAATTCACAGAACAAGCAGCGGGCGTGTACCACCGAGAAGCTCGGGCTGGCAAATACAAGCTCACCTATGCAGAAGCCAAGACTGTCTGTGAATTTGAAGGTGGCCGCCTCGCCACCTACAAGCAACTAGAAGCTGCCAGAAAAATCGGTAACTAATTTAATAACATTTTTCTTCTTATTCACCCTTGGTCGGGGGTTTCCACCTCTCCTATAACCCTTGTTAAGACTTTTCTCTGGAGCTGTTTGGGATTGCTCTCTATGTTGTAAGAACATCCTTGCTTTCTGGGGATTCCTTCATTCCTTTTGCCTAGGGTCAGAAGCTCCTAGTAACAGCAACTCATGGGGGGTTGAGTAGCATCCAGTAAAATAAAAGTCATGGCAGAGATACAGTGAGTTTGAGTAAGGAGCTGACATGATACTACCCATCAGAATGAGCTTGGTGAGGAGAGCCTCCAGTCAACACCAGGGTCTGTAGGGAGACATGAACTGTGAGGGAACAGCAAGGAAAAATAGAACATCATGCCTGAGGGTTCTTTGAGGGAAGATAGTGGGGGGGGGGTCTTCCCTTAAAAGACCTGGAGAGAGCTTCAAGTGAGAGGGTAGGTGAGATAGGCACCCTGTATATACAGCTTGACAGGGATCTCCATGGAAAAGGCCTTCTAATCCCCAGAACAAAGGGAGGTTTCAGTCTTTTCTAGATTTCCCAGGGGACTCAGGAAGCTCCACTCTTTCAATTTAGCCTGATTTGGTCCATGTGACTCCTGATACAGCAGTGAGTCAAGTACTAGACAGGGCTGCAAACTTAACTTTGCAGCTGTGAAGGGGAGTTCCTACAAGGCCACAGCACAGCATGGCTCCTCAATTCTCTGTCCCCAAGATTTCTAGAAGACGACAGGATGGAGGATAGAGGGTCTGTGATCTAAAAATAAGCAGCAAAGAAAAATAAAGACCCCCCCTACCTTGTTCTTACTGAAAAAATTAATGTTACTGTAATTGGTATTCACTTCAAATATTGTTTGATCTATCTATCTTGACTGAATGTTGATTTCCTCAACTATTAAATTATGCAGTTTTCCAAATATTTACTTAGTAGGGGTCTCTGTGACCACCACAGCCCTTAGAGTAACAGTCTGAGGAATTAGAGAAGGTAGTTATTTCGGTTCAACGTGACTCAGTAGCTGGTGTTAGTTCAAACCTTAGAAGTCTGACCCTGAATAGTTTATTCTAGGCATATTTAAATGCAGCACAACTGGTGATACTTAACCCATGTACACAATAAAGCTTAAGATCCAATGACATGGAAACTCTCTAAAGTACATATGACATCTTCCATAAAAATGGGTCTATAGATTGACTACATGTGACAACTTCCATAAAGTTATTATGGTCTATAGATTGACAAGAGTCACAGAAAGGGTCTAGAGAAGGATCCACTGTGGTCTCAGCCACATAGATAGCACCAAGGTCACCAGGCTATTAACCACTTCCATTCCCAGACTTCCTGACAGAAAGCAGGTTGTACATCTTTCTCTCTTTGAAGAAACAACCCTGTGTGTTTGACATTCTTGGTTCCCCTAGTATTTATCTGTGAGCGCAAGGACCTCCATAACTTCTACAGTAGTAGAAATATTATAATTTAAGGAAATTTTCTCTTAGTTTTTTGTATTCAATAGAAGAGTACCACCATATAGCTCAGGCTGGCCTCAAACTTGTAATCTTCCTGTCATGCCCAGGCGTTTGTAAAAGTGTTTTGACAGGAAGAGAATATATCTGTACTGCTGTACTATAGGATTAAAAACTGTGAGGCTGTGGTGGCATACAGCTTTAATCCCAGCACTCAGGACGTAGAGGCAGGAGGATCAAGAGTTCGAGGTCAACTTGGTCTACAAAATGAGTTTCAGGACAGCCAGGGCTACACAGAGAAGCCATGTCTTAAAAAAAAAAAAAACAAAACAAAAAACCTGTAATCCTAGTAGCCCTTCAGAGGTGAAGGCAGGAGAATCAGGTGTTCAAAGCCAATAAGCTTTATTGTATACACAGGTTAATTACCACCAGTTTTGCTGTGATTAAAATTTCCCTACAATGGTGAAAGGAAAAAAAAAAAAAAAGACCAGCCAGCAATTAACTGCTGCTGTTATTTGGGTGTGTTTGGTCAGTTGTTTGATTTTTTTTGTTTGTTGTTTTTGTGAATTTTGTTTTTATTTGCTTTGAGATGGGATCCCACATAACACACATTGGTCTCAGAGGCTGATAGTTATCCCTTCTATCTCTGCCTCCAAAGTGCTGAGATTAAACATGTGTACCATTAAGCCTGGCCGATACTATTTGCTTCTTTTACAGGAAAACTGGCTATACTCTCCCTCGAGTCTCCCCTTCAGAATTCCTTTCCTTATAGGTAAATGTCTGGCAAAGCCCATGCTATTATTACACTTTGTCCAAGACAAACACATAGATGTTAAATTATCCCACAGCATCAGTAAGGGATTGTTTCCAAGATCATCATTGACAACCAAAATCCAAGGATTCTCAAGTCCTGTGGCTCAAACCCAGGGCCAGACTCTGCTGCACAGACTCAGGCATGCCACCACCAGCCTACACCCATATCTCCTTTTTGTTTTAGTTGCTTGCTTACTTGGTTTTTATTTGAAACAAACTCTTCCTGATCTGAAAGCTGTTATCCTCCTGAGGCTGAGACATGAATACCCTATATACTTTAAATCAGAGATTATTTTGATACCTACCATAATGTAAGTACTGTATAAAGATAGTGCTGAGGGCTGGAGAGATGGATGGCTCAGAGGTTAAGAGCACTGGCTGCTCTTCCAGAGGACTGAGGTTCACTTCCCAGCACCCACATGGCAGCTCACAACTGTCTGTTTCAGGGGATCTGACACCAATAAAATGATGCTAAATAAGTTTTTTTTTAAGGTAGTTCTGAAGAAATAAGGACAAGAATAATGTTTGTACATGTTTAAATGTACCCTCTTTTCTGGCAGGGATTGAATTTAGGGCATCATGCATGTGAAGTAAGTGTTCTACCACTGAACCAAAGCATCTCAGATACAGATCTGTAAGGAAGCAATTTTAATTGCCCTTTGGTTAAACTCACAGATGAATGGCTACGGGTTTTTAATCAAATGCACACCCAGTTTCCTCAGACAACTGCTCAATAATCTGAAATCAGATGATTCTCATACTCACCATGAAACTGAATCCTTGTCTACCTGCATTTTTTTTCTTTTTTTCAAATAGGCCCACTAGCTAGTAAAAGTCAGAATTCAAATTTTACGGCCAGGCATGGTGGGGCTGCATGCCTGTAATCCTACAGCATTTTAGAGGCAAAGGCAGGAACATCAGATGTTCAGGGTCAGCCTTAGCTAAATAGTTAAAGGCCAGCCTGGGGTATATGAGATTATGTCTTAAGAAAAAAGGTAAAGGTAAGTGGGACATGGTGGAGCATGACTTTAATCCAAGCACCCTGGAAGCAGAAGCAGGGGGATCTCTGTGAGTTCAAGGGCAGCCTGGTCTACAAAGTGAGTTCCAGGACAGCCAAGCTTGTTGCACAGAGAAGAAGTCCTGTCTTTAAAAAAAAAAAAAAAAAAAAAAAAAAAAATATATATATATATATATATATATATATATATATGATTTATTTGTATTCAAACTTTGTTTTGGTTTGGTGTTGTGTTTTGTTTGCAGCACTAGGGATTTAACTTAAGGCCCAATGCTTGGTCTCACTATGTAGCCTAGTCTGGCCTTGAACTGATCCTTCTGCTCAGTCTCCAGAGCTATAATCACAGGGGTTTTCCCTTTCTATACAAAGAGCATTTGGTCACTTGAGAAACTTATAGTAGGAAGTGGTTGCCTCCTCCTACTGAGTTGTAGACTTTTTTTTTGGGTGAATCCATAAGGTTCTCTGCCTCTTTCAGGATTTCATGTCTGTGCTGCTGGATGGATGGCCAAGGGAAGAGTTGGATATCCCATAGTGAAACCTGGGCCCAACTGTGGATTTGGGAAAACTGGTATTATTGACTACGGAATCCGGCTCAACAGGAGTGAGAGATGGGATGCCTATTGCTACAACCCACATGGTTTGTTCTGTATTTGCAAAAGTAGTTATACAAACAACAACAGCAAAGCAGTTACCTAACAAGAGATTACTACAAGGAAACAGCTTTTCCTTCTAAAAATGAGTGAATGTGGTGATGATGATGATAAAATTATATGTACCATTCAAAGGTCCTTCTTTGCTGTTTAGGGCACTGAATTGTGTTCCATCATTCATATTCTCACTAAAGGAGAAGTATTCTTTGTTCATGCTCTTGGAGAAAAGAACAGACTCTTCTTTTCAGACCTGTTCTCCCAGACAACACAACAAAGTGTTATTAATTATGTTACAGAGCCTTTCTGGCATTCACTAACACACTGCTGTGATGCAGTTTTAGATCTACCTTATGTGGAATGCCATATCACAGTAGGAAGTAGGAGAGTGATAGCAACATGCTAGGCTCCTGTCACAGCACTGTTTAATGTGTCTCTGAGCAACATACAGTGGATTCCAAGTTGAAAGAATTTTGCTTAGAGCTGGATACTACACACATTCAAAACAAGCACATGCATTTATCACAGGACTGTAACCAACAAATCACTTAGGTTCCTTGGTTTGTTTGTTTGGTTATTGTTTTTGTTACTGCTGTTGCTGTTTTGGGAGTTTTGTTTGTGTTTCCCTGACTGTCCCGGAACTCACAGTGTAGATCAGCACTCACAGTGTAGATCAGCCCTACTGCCTCTGGAATGCTGGGATTAAAGGTGTGTGCCACCACACCCAGTAATAGGTTAGTTTTTAGCTTCCACATTCTATCACCCCTAAACAGTTAACTCACAGAGAATTTAAAATGACGTAGGCTCCTCCATAGTTTTCTCTCTAGGTCATGTTGCAAATCATCAATCCTGACTTTCTTTGGGTTTAGTTTTTTCTTTTTATTTGTTTTTCTTAACACACTGCAGTCTTAACATACTGCAGTACAAGAAACAAATGACAAAAACAAACAAAACCTGCTGCCAAATCCTGAATTCTAGTGTTCTAGAGCATACCAATTTGGGGCTGGAGTGTCTCTTAGCAGTATGACCTGTGCTTAGCTCAAGCTAGAATTGACTTGAAGCCTCAGTATCCAAAAGTGCAAGGGAAAACCAGATGTGGCATAGCACACCAATAATCCCAATACAAGAGGCAGATGTAGGGAGAACTGTCACAAATTCAAGGTTTAACTAATCTACCTTGGCAAGTTCAAAACCAGTCTGGGACCCTGTCTCAAAAAGAGAGAAAGAGGAGACATAGATTACAAATTATTTTAATTAGATTAAGTGACATTTTTATTTCAAGACAGGTTTCTATGTGTAGCCCTGGCTGTCCTAGAACTCACTCTGTAGACCAAGCTGACCTTGAACTCAGAGAGATCATCCTGCCTCTGTCTTGGGATTAAAGGTGTGCATCACCACTCAGCTAAAGTGACTTTTATAAAAAGATCTTGCAGCCTTTCCTTGGTGGTGCACACCTTTAGTCCCAGCACTCGGGAGGCAGAGGCAGGCAGATCTCTGTGAGTTTGAGGACAGCCTAGTCTACAGAGCAAATGCCAGGGCAGGTTCCAAAGCAATACAGAGAAACCCTGTCTCGAAAAAACAAACAAAAAAGATCTTGCAAAAATAAATTACAGGCCACAGTCTGGCAACTACAGGATAAAATCCGTCTCACCTTGCTGAGACTGTTGGTAACATGAATAAGTATTTGGCAAAATACACCAAAGTATATATAAAAGTCTTGTACATTTTATGCCTTAAAAAAAAAAATCAAAGCAGGGAGGGAGGGAGAGGGAACTGGGATCGACATGTAAAATAAAAAATAAATAAATTAATTTTAAAAAATCAAAGCAAGGAAAAATGTAAACAAAAATACAAATGTTATTTTCACATTTTAAAATTCACAAGCAGTCCATGTTCAAATTTTAGAAAATTTAGGCACTGGGCCTACCGGATGGCTCAAGGTGTAAAGAACCTTGTCACCAAGCCTAGTGACCTGAATTCAGCCATCACTGTGAATACTGGCAGAAAAAGACTGAATCCAGAAGGTGGAATCTGGAAGGTGGTATACACATACACACACACACACATTAAATTTTTTAAGTTTAAAGAAAATTTAGAAATTACTATTAGCTATAAGCATACATAATATACTGCAGATAATATATGTCTGCAGTATTTTATATAAAAATAATAAATAATGTCTAAGTAAACTTTCTTTTCCTATTTCAGCAAAGGAGTGTGGCGGTGTCTTTACAGATCCAAAGAGAATTTTTAAGTCTCCAGGCTTCCCAAATGAGTATGACGACAACCAGGTCTGCTACTGGCATATTCGGCTCAAGTACGGTCAGCGAATTCACCTGAGCTTTTTGGACTTTGACCTTGAACATGACCCAGGTTGCCTGGCTGACTATGTAGAAATATATGACAGCTATGATGATGTCCATGGCTTCGTAGGAAGGTGAGTGATGCTTCTTACACAGGATCATATTTCTTTGGTTTTCTCTCCCCAGTTCCTATGTATGATATTGTTGATACTTGGAATTTCTACTCTCTCCAACAGTAAGTGATGCTTTTTCCTCTTCCTCTTCTTCCTTCCAAACCTTCCTTCCTCTTCTCCTCTTCCTCTTTTCTTCCTTCTTCTTCTTCTTTTTTTTTTTTTTTTTTTTTTTTGTTTGTTTTTTTTTTTTTGTTTTTTTTTTTTTTTGTTTTTCGAGACAGTGTTTCTCTGTGTAGCCCTGGTTGTCCTGGAACTCCCTCTGTAGACCAGGCTGGCCTCTAACTCACATAGATCCACCTGCCTCTGCCTCCCAAGTGCTGGGATTAAAGGTATGCACCACCACCTCCCAGCTCTTCTGTTCTTTATCAGGGGAGCTGGGATTGCAGGCTGGTCTTGAACTCATTTTGCAGTTCAGACAGGCCTTGAGTTCCTGATCTTCCTATCTCCACCTCCAAAGTGCTGGGATTACAGGCATATTTATCACCTCTGGCTTCCATATAATTTACCAACAAATACTTTACTTAATTGGCTGTACCTATACTAATAACAAAAGGCAATGAAGCTGCCTTTGAGTGTTGACTTGTAAAACCTCATTGTCTAGTCAAAACCTCACATGACTAAAGACACAGAAAATGAATTTTCCGTTAAAATGTTCAAGTTTTGTTTTGCTTCAGTTTGGTTTTTCAAGACAGGGTTTCTTTGTGTATGTAGCCCTGGCTATCCTGGACTAGGCCAGGCTGGCCTGGAACTCACAGAGATTCTGCCTGCTGAATGCTGGAATTAAAGACGTGGACCACCATTGCCTGGAAAATGTCCCGTGTTAATCCTGATAGAGAATCAGTTACAGCATTTTGGGGCTGAATTTGAAATAAGCTTTATTAAAATAATAAATACTGACCAAGATGAACTTTGGTCAGCACCACTCCAGGAAATACCCCAGCTGAGGGGCCCCTAGACATGTGTTATGGAACTTTTGTGGACAAAACTCATATGCCACACTACTGTCCCTTGAGGCTTTGTCATTTTCCAAGAACTACAATTTCCAGCATCCCATGGAATTACCTAGTCCTTGTAAATGTGGAGCTTAAAACTACAACTTCAAGCATTCCATGAAATTACCTGGTCCTTGGGCAGGTAGGCCTTATAGGGTAATTTTGGGTCTTACACCTGCTCCAATATCTTCATATAGTTTAAGTTTTGAGTGTCTTACAAAATATTTCTAAATTGAGGTATGTAATCAGATGTTTTTTAATTCAAGTACCATTTAATAACTTGTATTACTGTTTATCAATGGATTATTGTTTATTAATGAATTACCAGTTTTCTACTGTACTGACAGGAACTTAGTAGAAGAACCTGAAAGTGGGGGCAGTTCAAAATGGCAGGCTCAGTTGTTTCACTTTGTCCAAGGTAGGGTCTCTATGGAGCCCAGGCTGACCAGGAGTTCACTGTGATGGTCCAGGTCGTCCTGAACCCTCAGTTCTTTCAACTGGGTTTGCAGTTGTGCACTAACACACTTAGCTTAGGCTCAATCCGTTTTTATGTTCTGATGGAATGTATAAATTAAAAACAATAAAAATGGAGATTTCTTGCATAAACCACGGGGATTTTTGACTGAAAGTATGCATGACAAGAAATGAAGGAGGCTGGGAGATGAGAACTTTTTGGACTAGGAAATGCAGCCAATTTCATTTTTCTAAAGTATTCCTAGTATTCATGAAGAGCTGAATTTGGTCCTTAGTACCCAGTATGCAGTTGAGCACATACACACAGACACACATAAAGTATCACTTGAGCCTAGAATTGGATGGTGTTTTAATTCTAAAATCACCAATGGACCTAAAGAAAATCATATAGTACATTTTCAGGTTTTTCTATAAGGTTTATTATTTATTGCATTTATATGTGTAATTTTCCATTATAGCATACTCATCCTTTCTCTGGAATCATTGTAGCTTTAGAAAGCCATATATATATATATATATATATATATATATATATATATTTCATAATTAAGAGAAAAAACAGACCATACCAATATAGTCTATATTTAGGTATTTCATACCTATACTTTCCTATATTTTAATTAGTTTATCCTATAGTTTATAAATAATACCATCAACTATATACCTCCACATCCTATCACTACCAAAATGCTGTGAGTAAAGGCTGGGAGGAACACAGTACCAGGCAAGTACTCTACCACTGATTGCCATACCTATTCCTTACAAAATTCACAGCATTAAGAAGAAACTAGTATTCATCGGGTGGTGGTAGCACATGCCTTTAGTCCCAGCACTTGGGAGGCAGAGGCAGGCTGATCTCCGTGAGTTCAAGCTCAGCCTGATCTACAAAATGAGACTAGGTGTTGTGGTGCACACTTTAAGTTCAATACTCAAGAGGCAAAGGCAGACAGATCTATGAGTTCAAGGCCAGTCTGGTTTACATAGTGAGTTCCAGGGTGTCGGGATTATGTGACCATGTCTCAGGGGGAAAAAAAAGATTGTGAGATTAATTAAAACTACATATTTCTTTCCATCTTTACAAATATGTGTTTAAAAAAAAAAAAAAAAAAGTTTATCCCAGCATTGGGAGGCAGGGGAAAGAAGTCCTTTGTGAGTTCTAGGCCAGCCCAGCCTTGTTTACATATCAAGTTTCAGGCCAGCCAGGGCTACATAGATGAGACCCTATCTCAAAAAACTTATTCTGTTGAGTAGAGAAAATTGAGCCACTATTGTAAGGAATAAAACATTTTGTTATAAATAAGAGCCACATTGGTAGTTGTGTGCTTCTTTTTTGTGTGAACTCTTGTTCCTAAAAACTCTCTTTCAGATACTGTGGTGATGAACTTCCAGAAGACATCATTAGCACAGGTAAGACCCAAATCTCAGCAAAACATTAAGTTGCTTTTTCATAGCGCCCTCAAAGTCATTATTATTCACCTTTAAAACTGAGAGAACTAAGACTAGTTCGTTAGTTTGTGACAATGCCAGTTTTTATTCTTAAGATTTTGGCCACCTTTGTGATCAAAATGGTGTGTGTGGACAGTTTCATTGGCAGGCATCAGCTTGAATCCACAGGTCCCTAAGAATTGCAGTTGGCATCCCCAGGGGTTTGCAGTGGTGATAAATGAGTGGGGACTGGCATTGAGCTCGATAGCAGAGTGCTCTTCTTGCACGTGCGATGGCCCTAGATTTGATTCCCAGCACAGCAAATAATAACAACAACAGTAATAATGGCAATAGCTGGAAATAATCATTGATAAAAGACTGAGTAGTTAAACACAGCATCAGAGTAAACAACTTCTTCATTGTGTCACACTTCTATCAGCAGCCATTGCATAAGAAAAGGGCAATGCTGGGCTACACAGAGATAAAAAGGTTTCTTGATTGGCAACCACAGGAAACTTTCAATATGCTAATTTATGTAGTGAATCTCAAAAGGCTAGCTATTACAGTCAATGCCTGCTAAATCACACAGGCATACACACCCAGAGCTATTTTGTATGCTCATGTTCTAAGAAGTAGTGCCCTTTAAAAATGTCCTTTAGTGACATAAATTGATCACAATAGGCAACAATACTCTTGAAATTATCCTGAACTGCCTTTTAAATTTTTTATTTTTTAGTGAAATGCTTTGTTTTCTCTGAAGTCTGTTTTCTTCCTTTTTCCAGCACCAGTTCTTGGTAATTCTGATAGGTTCTGTTTTCTCTCCAAGTCATAAAACTATCACAATGCTTTGCACCTAAGAACAGCTTCACTCTAGAGAGGGCAGACAGCGCTAAGTCTTTTTAAACTGCATCCACACCCTGCCTGCAGCACTCTCGGTTCTAAGGTGTAATTTTTACAAGCTGTGAAGCTCTCTACTCTTCTTGGACGATTACTGTTTAAACCTTATTAATGTGTTAGTGTTACACTCTTCCCAAGAAGGGAAACCCACTATAAACCTCTTATTTCTCTTATCTCAAGGACGAATTTTATGTTCTTTAGAGCTTTACAAGGTTTTTAAAGCTTTGGGGAGTAAAAACTCAAAAAAAAAAAAAAAACAAAAGAAAAACAAAACAAACAAACAAACAAAAACCCAACAGCAGGGCTGGGTGTGGAAGCAGAGGAAGGAGGATCACCCAGGAATTATTTAAATAATTTATTTACTTTTATTTTATTTGCATTGCAATATTTTATTTGCCTGCAGATATGTCCCTGTGAGGGTTAGAGGCAGATCTTAGAGTCAGAGACATTTGTTAGCTGGTATGTGGGTGTTGGGAATTGAACTGGGATCTTCTGAAGAGCAGTAAATGCTCTTAACCACTGAGGCATCTATCCAGCCCGGTAGAGTTGTTTTTTAATTGAATTATGGGTTGAGTATCTAAGTTATGAAAAGCTTCCTGGGCTCCCAAGATAGCTCAAAGATGAAGAACACTTGTTGCTCTTGCAGGAGTCCCAGGTTTGGATCCCACCATTCACGTGGTGGCTCGTAAGCAGCTGTAACTCCAATTCCAGAGGCTCTGATGCATTCGTATGGTACACATATACATACATGCAGACAAACACTTGTGCACATAAAGTGACTTAAGTAAATACAAAAATAAAATAAGAAAACTTTAAAAAGATAGCTCAGCAGGTAAAAGTGGGAGGAAAGAATCATCTCCGCAGATTTGTCCTCTGACTTCACATGTATCCCATGGCAAGTCCTCACACACACAGACAAGCATCAATAACACACCCATACTTATAATAATAATAATATAGTTTTATTAAATCTTTCCCCCTGAAATATTACTACATGTTACTTGGGCATTTTCTGGTCCATATGTTAAGGTACATTTTAAGTCCATTCTAAGAAGTAGGCATTTAAGTTTATTTCTTAGCTTTGTTTTCAAGACAGGATTTCTCTGTGGCTTTGAAGCCTGTCCTGGAACTAGCTCTTGTAGATAAGGCTGATCTCAAACTCACAGAGATCTGCCTGCCTCTACCTACCAAGTGCTAGGACTAAAAGCATGTGCCATCACCGCCTGGCAATTTCTTAGCTTGTTTTTTTTTTTTTTCTTCGTCTTCTTTTGTCTTATATTAGTTGATTAATTGGTTTTATTTTTTGAGACAGAGCCTTTCTCACTATGTATCCCTATCTGGCTTGGAAATCATTATGTAGACCAGGCTAAGCCTTGAACTCACAGACAACTGGTGGAGGCATGTGCCACCACACCCAGCCCTAAGTTTGCTTCTTAATAATGCAAGGCTTATTGCTCCCCACCAGTTATACTAAATAGTCATAAGTGGCCCATGCACACCTCATGAGCTCTAACTACTGTCACATTCGTATAGTTCTACGGATTAGTCCATAAGGAGAATTATTTTTCACCTTGTGGTGCTAAGAAATCCAGAGCCTCATCATGCTAGGTAATCACCCTATTTGAAAATTTTATTTATTATTTTATTTATTTATTTATTTTTTTATTTATTAATTTATTTTCATTTAATTTCGAAGGGCAGAACAGTGCAGGAGCATTGAGCCATGGATAATCTTCTGAAATAGAAAAGATATTTCCCCCATGATTAAAGGCCCAGAGTTAAACATGAAAGTCCTTCATCAGGCACAGGTGCCACAGGCCTTTAATCCAGCACTCAGGAGACAGAGGAAGGCCAATCACTGAGTTCTGAGGCCAGCCAGGTCTATGAGTTTCAGGACATCCAGGGTTCCACTGAGAATCTGCCTCAAACACCAAGTCCCTCACTAGCTCCACACTGAGTGTGACAAGCACAGACTATAAAATTTGAGAATCTACATCTGGACTCTGCAGTCTTATTCACCTCTTTTGTGAGATGATAAGTCATTGAATTGTTAGACAAAGCAAACTGAAGTAACTTCTTTGTTCCTATGTGTGCCTTCCCCCCCACAGGAAATGTCATGACCTTGAAGTTTCTGAGTGATGCATCTGTCACAGCTGGAGGTTTCCAGATTAAATACGTCACAGTGGATCCTGCATCCAAATACAACCAAACCAAAAATACAAGTACTACTGGAAATAAAAAATTCTTAGCTGGAAGATATAGCCATCTATAAACATTTTAAAAGAAATATTCAAAACATACAATATTTATGTTTGTAGCTTTTGGACCTCCTTTGTTCTCACTTTTGTATTTTATTATTAACATGTATTTATTATTTTTCCAAATGTGAAAGCAATATGTAAATGTAGGAAAAATTGGAAAAATACAGAAAACTTCAAATGGGTTAAAAAAAAAAAACTCATAATTCTACTCTGTAGAAATAACTGATGTCTAAGATTTTTCAGTAATTGTCTTCAATTTGTTTTTTTACTTGTAGTACATGTAAATATGTGATTATATATTTTGGCATTCTGCATTATGTATAGTTTTATAATTTAACATTTACTGCTTGAGTAATTCCTAAGATCACTGACTTTTCTACAAAATGAGACTTTGAGCAGCTGTAAATATCCCCTAGTATGATCGTTTCCTGCTTTATTTAAGCCAAATCTATATTAGGATTTTAGATTGTTTTCATAAATATTGCCGTAATAAATATCTTTGGACATAAATATCTTGCAGGTCTTTAATTTTATGGAGACATAGGCCTAGATGTAGAAATATGAATCAGAAGCTAATTAAAATAGAATCTTTCTTTTTTAAAGTTATTGAGTGGTGTGTGTGTGTGTGTATGTATGTATTCTTATACACCATGTGCATGCAGGAGCCTGTAGAAGTCAGAAGAGGATATCAGATAACCTGGAACTAGACTTACTGTTGTGAGCTGACATGTGGGTTCTAGGACCTGAACACAAGTCCTCTGGAAAAGCAACAAGTGTTCTTAACCACTGAGCCATCTCTCCAGGCCCAGAACTTTTCTTCTTTACATAGAAATAAACAAAGACACAACAGTGTAGTGTAGTTGATAATTTGACTTTTAGCTCTCTGGATTCCTTGAAGGGACAGACAAACACTGCAGTAAGTGTAAGGGTTCAGGCATTACGCTGGCCTGCCCCTATCACCTGGCAGAAAGCACTCAGACAGGAGCCTGGTCAGCCCAGGGTTCTATGGTTGCTTAGTCTGCATGCAGATACAAAGGACCCCTTTAAAAGAAAGACCCCCACCTCAAAAAAAAAAAAAAATAAAAGCAGCTGGGAGGTGGTGGTGGCGCACACCTTTAGTCCCAGCACTCGGGAGGCAGAGGCAGAGGCAGGTGGATCTCTGTGAGTTCGAGGCCAGCCTGGTCTATAGAGCTAGTTTCAGGACAGGCTCCAAAGCAATACAGAGAAACCCTGCCTCAAAAAGCCAAACAAACAAAAAAGAGTAACAAACAAATGATCACAGCTTGGGGGAAAAAATAAAATTATTAAATTCACTAATGAATATATGGAATTAGAAACAATCACTGTAAATGAAGTAACCCAAATACAGAAAGAGAGATTCCACACATTCTTTCTTACACGTATTAGCTTTATATCTTTGGATATGTGTATTTAAATTGAAATACCCACAGAAGGCAGTACACTAACTAGTAAAGGGTCATGGGTGGTGGTAGCAAAGGGTCTTCAAGGAGAAGGGTATAGAATGTTGGTGATATAAAGGGGTATGGAATGCCAGTGGTATCAAAGGGGGAAAGGAGAATAATGGCACAGGGAGGATTAAGTACCTTATGGAATGGGAGGGAGGGTAGAAGAAGGCATATGGGAGAAAATATTTAACACGAAAGGCATAGACTATAAACTAGTTATGTAGTGGGACTGGGAAAGGGAAGTTAATCAAAAGCCTACAAAACAAGTAAAACAAGTTGGGAGAGAGTGGAAGAACAAGACCATGATTCATGAGTACTTCCCTGATCAACACAGGGTTACTCCTCCAATTGGGCAGAAAAGGCTTGCAAAGGGTGTACTGGCCACTTAGTGGCTCAGCTGCAGTTCACTTCAAATGACCAATCCCGATTACTTCAGTCTCCACTCATTTTCCATCACAAGTACCATAGAAGTCTTTCTGGGTCTTTTATTTCAACTCCCTCTCTGCAAAATTGTACATCCCCTCCCCTGTTTTCTTTAACCCATTTATCATTCAACACATTTTCCTTCCTCTCTCGCCCTCACTACAATGAAAGCTTCATTAGAAACAGTGGCTTTCTTGCATGATGCATCCACATACTGTCTCCATAAGAACCTGACATACAGAGGGTCAATGAAATGAAGCAAAGAATTAGCATTACTCCCATGCCCAAAATGAAGCATAATCAACTTAAAATTCAGCACAGTATGACAATGAAAGTTTGGGTTATTATAAACAACCACAATCTATATTCCAAGCTGGGGGGGTAGGGGCCCATGCCTTTAATTCTAGTACTCTGTAGGCAGAGGCAGGTGTATCTCTGTGAGTCTGAGGCCAGTTTGGTCTACAAAGTGAGTTCCAGGACAACCAGGACTGTTTCACAGAGAAACCCTGTCTTGAAAAAATAAAAACAAAACAAAACAATCTATATTCCAAACATTGAGGACTGGAGCATACAAGTGTGGTCCATTCAGAAGACAAAGATAGTAACTCAAATAGGAAACTATTCAATATGGACCATTATGCAACCAATATGGAATAGTACCAATGCAAGCAGAGTAGCAAGGAGCAGATAAGACACAAGCAAGCCCAGTGAGGTGGTACCCATAATCCTAGCATTTTGGGAACTCCAGTAGCAGCTCCCTCCTCTGGTTCCTTCAGGCTCTCAGACAACTTCTGAAACCTCTTGAACTCTGCTGCAGCTTCTTCAACTTGTATTCATTTGTAAGGCACATGAATACATAGGGATATACACATATATGTACTGAGTGCTGTGCTCTGTGTGATATGAGTTAATGTCAGTGATTAAAATTGGAATAAAAGAACCTACACCCCCCCCTCAGCCAGATCACCAAGGAAGGTAGTATTATATGGTAAGTTGCAGCCGCTGAAAGCATAGAACCTTGTGAATTTACTGTCATACAATAAATTCTGACACTGAGAGAAGATACGGGTGTGCTCTTCCATGTTTCTGGCATAACCTGCTTATGTCTAGTGGACTGCTGACTGGAGTGCAAGGCTGTGGGAGGTTCCACTGTCACCCGGGTTTCTGTGGCTGCTGCCAAAGATCCCAAGGAAGACAGATGCCAAGAGAGAAAGTGTGGAAAGTACTTGACCCTGGCTTCATGATGGAAGCCTAGAGACAGAGGCCTGTTTCTAAAGTAGTAATACTTCATGAATTGTAATATCCAAAAGTTGTCCATTTGTATGAACTACTGACCTCTTAGCTACTTTTCTATCTCTGTAAAGCAACTCCATGAACAAGGCAGCTTATAAAGGAAAGCATTTACCTGCAGGCTTGCTTACAGTTTTAGAGTTAGTCCTTTATCATCATGGCAGTGACCGTAGCATCAGGCAGGCAGGCATGGAGCTGGGGCAGCATAACAGGTAACGTTCTGATCCACAAGTTAGAGGCAGAGAGAGACAAAAAGACAGAGAGAGGGACAGAGACTGGGAATGATGTGCTGGGGACTTCTAAAAAACCCCAAGCCTGCTCCCAGGGACACACTTTCTCCAATAAGGTCACACTTCCTAATTCTTCCCAAACAGTTACACCAACTAGGGACCAACATTCAAATTATATGAGCCTATGGAATTATTCTCATTCAGACCAACACATGACCCAATTAACACAACCCTGAATATTATTACACTGACACTGGTATTGAAAGAACCTCACAGACAAAAGATATTCATCATAACATACTTCATGGGACTCTTGACCTTGAGTTCCTGATTCTTCCCTCTCTACCTCCCAAGGGCTGGGATTACAGGTGATCACCATCATGACTGGTTTTCTGTGACTCTGGGAATGGAACTCAGGATTTCTTGTATGCTAGGCAAGCTATCAACTGAGCTACCTCCCCAGCCCCAAAGATGGATATTCAGATGCTATAATTTTATGTAGGTGGGTACTTGGATGCTGTCGTTTTATAGACTTGCTTCCATAAACCACATCATACTGGATAGTAAGTATATTTTCAAATTGCTTTTGCTGTTTTTTTTAGCAACATTTATAGAGATGACCACACCTTTCATTTCTTTCTTCTAAGAAGGATTTATGACAAGAATGACACTCTCCTAGATGGGTGGGCCTTTAATCCTATATCTTATTACTACACAAAAGCTAAGATGTGACATTCTAGATCTCAAGGGAAAATAATTTCAGGGAATGAGTATTTACCTAGGAGTTAAGTCTAAAGGTTTACATAACAGTGTGCTCTGCCTGTACTTGTAATCCTGAAAGTAGCGGGCCTGGCACTGAGGGAACATAGTATGCCTATCCAAATGCAGCAGCATCAACAATGCAGACATTGCTAACAGTGCTTATTGCTACAGAGATTGCAGCCAGTGTGTGACTTCACAATTGGTGTAAAATCTTTGTGAAAATGATAGTAATGAAGGGGCAACACAGAAGATTCCAGATAGAGGAGAAGCCAAGGCAGTAGCCCTTTCATCCTGTCACAAGGTCATAAAATGAAGCAGAGTTTTTATAGTATATGATATCTATTTTATTTATTTTAAAATAATTTATTGACTTTTATTTCATATGCATTTGTGTTTGTTATGTCTGTGTGACGATGTCAGTTCAGATCCCCTGAAACTGGAGTTACAGATGGTTAGGAGCTGTCATATGGGTGCTGGAATTGAACCCTGATCCACAGAAAGAGAAGCTAGTGCTTTTAACTGCTGATTATATTCATTTCTACCTGTGGTTGATTTATAGGTAAAATGGTGTGATTATTTTTGTTAAAACTTGTGTAGTGAGTGGACAATGATGGTGCAAGCCTTTAATCCCAGCACTCATGAGGCAGAGGCAAGTGTTTTATCTGTGAGTTCGAAGCTAGCCTGATCTATGGAGAGAGTTCCAGGAGAGCAGGACAGGCTCCAAAGCTACAGAGAAACCCTATCTCGAAAAACTGAAAGAAAAAAAATTCTCCCAAGAAAAAAACCCTCCCCCTAAGCCTCCCAAAGCAAAAAACCTTGTGCTGGGCCATTAATCTCCAAATGAATGGTTTTGGTTTTGTTGAGGGAGTGTCTCCTGTAGCCCAAGGTGATCTCAAGCTTACTTTGTAGCCAAGCATAACCTTCAACTCTTATCTTCCTGCTTGGCTTTCTAAGGGCTGAAGTATAGGAATGTACCATGTTTGAAAACCCATGCTGGGTACTAAACTTAAGAGTTTGAGCATGCTAGG